AAAAAAAAAAAAAAAATACAAAATCAAGTCTGACTGAGCACAGCTGAGAAGCTTGTCCAAGGTGGCCCAGGCAGAAGGAACAAAGCTGGGGTATGTGCCGAGGGCTTTCTGACTCCAAGCACAACCTCTCCACTGCCCCTCACCTGCACCCCATGGCCTTCACAGTAGGTTTGCAGCAAGCAGTCAGGGGCCAGTCCGAGGCCAAGTCAGCAGGGAAAGTGAGACGCACGGGCTGCATCTGGAGAGGTTTCCTTCTGACGGGAGGGGTCTGCCTGCTCCAGCCCTCGGCCCCACAGTGGGGTTCAGGCCGTGCCGTGTGCGGGTCTCGGCCTACAAGTGACCAGTGTTGTGGCTGGACCGGCCCTTGTGGTTCTTATTACGTTTGCAAGACACCCTTCAGCAACAACCATCAGGAGACTTTGAAAAAAAATAAAGGTTTATTAAGAGACTCTCTTAAAGATAGAGAACAAATTGAGGGTTGATGGAGGGAGGGGGCGGGGATGGGCTAGATGGGTGATGGGTACTAAGGACAGCCCTTGTTGGGATGAACGCTGGATGTTGTATGGAAGTGATGAATCACTGAATTCTACTCCTGAAACCAATATTGCTCTGTACGGTAACTAGCTAGAATTTAAATAAAAATTTGAAAAGAAGAAAAAGAAAGGTTTATTGCTTACAAGACCTAGAAACTACATAGCACCCCTGGGGCCCCACAGTGAGGTCATGGGGAGAAAGCACATGTGGGCCGGGGGTTCTGCTTTTTTGGAGGTTGACAGTGGAAACCTAGGGTTTCACAGGCTCACTCTTAATTGGTGAATTTAAAACATGAGGGGGGATGGGGCGCCTGGGTGATTCAGTCGGTTAAGCTTCGGACTCTTGATTTCAGCTCAGGTCATGATCCCAGGGTCACGGGATGGAGCCCCACTCCCACTCTGGGTGTGGAGCCTGCTTGAGATCCTGTCTCTCCCCCTGCCCCTTACCTGCTTATGCATGCATGGGTGTGTGAGCTCTCGCTCTCTCTCTCTCTCTCTCTCTCTCTCTCTCTTTCAAACAAACTATGAGAGGGAAATTTAATGTGCAAGAAGAGAGAAAATAAAAGTGGCCCAAATGGTCAGCTGTCTAAATCAACCAAGATCTCTAGAACAAAGGAGCCTCAGTGGAGGAAGGCAGCCTGGCTGTTATCTAGTCTTGTGACTGGCGACGTGTTTATTCAAAATACCGTTGAAGGATGCCTCTTTGGAATGGATACCTCAGCAATTAAAGCTTAAGTCAGGCACTTAGATTGTGAAAAGAAAAGAAAAAAAAAAAACTGGTAGGGATTACACAACAGGCAGGTGTCCAGGGGCTCCCCAAAGGTTTTGCTCACCTGGAGGAACATGGCTGCCCCCGCTAAACCCTAGACACACACTGTGTTTAAGAGAATCTTCTCCCCTGGGTAGAGGCACATTCCTTTCCGGAAGAGACAAGCCCTGGGAGTGCTCAACCTCAGGCACCTTAAGGAAGTGGAGAAGAGAGGTTGCCGTCTGGGAGGACAGTGGCATTTCAGATTCGTCTGTCAGCACCTGCTTCCCTGAGAAGCGGATTGAAATGGAACCCGGGTGCGCAGCAGCCTGGGAACTGGAGGGTTCTGGTCAGACCTGGCGCCCCCTAGAGGCTGTAATGCAAAGCAAGGCCTCCAGAATCACTTTTCCCTGTGGCCAAGGAAGGGTTAACTTTTCAGGCCATGCCCAGAATGGACAGAGACCCAGAGCCCAAAGTGCACATGCGTTCATAGGCCAGAGGTGCCTCTGAGATGGGCAGCTGTAGGCCTCCCGACCTTCACCCGTGACGATGATACCAAATATGCAGGGAGCAGCTTTGCCAAGAGCCCGGATGCGCCGGGCACTGTGCCCCCAGCATCTCATTGTTCCAGGCAAGGCATTCTCATGACAAAGACCTGAAGCCCCCTCAAACTGGCAGAGATGAAAGGTGACTTCGTGAAGGGACACTGAGGAGTCTCCAAGAGACAGAGCAAAAGGCCAGCCAGGCTTTGCGGGCAGCAGCAGCTGCCTCGCTGGCTTCCTCCCTAACCGCGGGTCCCTGCTCCCCGACAACACCCCCTGCCTCCCCCGGGCCGGGCCCTGGTGCCAGCCTCATGCCACCCGCAGACCTTGCAGTTGGAAGAAGCTGTGAGGCTGTGTGTTTCCTCCTATCACCAAGTGTCTGCAATGTAATTTTTTTGGCATTCCACTCACTTTTTACACAGTGAGTAGAATGTGATAAAAATCCAATTCCCAGCAAAGCCCTGGTGCTCAGGCAGGGGTGATGTTGCCAAGACAGAGATATTTATTTGCAGGGTCAGCACCACGTGGTGGCCCAGAGCGGGTGCTTGTAGCTCATGAACTGATGTAAGAGAGTCCAGGTTTGGCCTTGGAAAGGCTGGCGTTTAATAGGAAGCCAGGCTGCAGAGGGGTTGTCTTGGGGCCGCAAAGCTGACATGGGGATTAAACTGCATGCATTTGATTCTTAGCACAAGGGGAACCTAGAGCAAGTACTTAATGGCAACCAGGGGTCAGATTTGTAGAGGTTCTCAGACACGCTTGCAATCTATATATGCTTAATATATTTTTTAAAGTGTATTTATTTATTTTGAGAGAGAGAGAGAGCACAAGTTGGGGAGGGGCAGAGAGAGACAGTGGAGGAGAGAGAGAATCCCAAGCAGGCTCCGAGCTGCCAGTGCAGAG